TGGCTCATACCTGTAATCCCAGCACTGTGGGACCCCAAGGCAGGTGGATCACCTAGGGTCAGGAATTTACGACCAGCCTGGTGAACATGGTGAAACCTTGTCTCTACTAAAAATACAAAAATTAGCAGGGCATGGTGGTGGGCGCCTATAATCCCAGCTACTCAGAAAGCTGAGGCAGGAGAATGGCTTGAGCCTCGGAGGCCGAGATTGTGCCACTGCACTCTACCCTGGGAAACTGAGCAGGACTCTGTCACAAAAAAAATATATATATATATACCGGTAAAGACTATCAAGAAATTTGCAGCACTTAACACATACATGTGTTTTCTTTGAGAATATAAGAAATGAATGCAGACACTGTCTAATCCTTTCACAAACCATGATTTCCAGCATTGGACCCTTAAAGTAAATACATCTATTTACAATACATGTGTCAAACAGGTTAAGGAATAAAATATTACTCCTCAGTTTGTATGACAGGTATCAGACTAACAGACTAAAGAAAACAAGAACCCAACTGCAGCTTTTTTCTTTAAATCCTTGGTAGTGCCGCTCAACAGAGATTGTTATGTTCTAACAATTACATATTTAGAGAAGGTTACAAAACAAGACTTCCATTAAAAATTTAAATATATTTTTTTTACTTTTACTAGGAAACTGCCATAAATTTACCATAGTACTGGTTTTCAAGCTGGTAGCAAAGTATAAGACATAGGAATTTGTTCTATTTTATATTTGAAGAGGATGATTCAACAATTCAATGAAGCAATGACTGGCCTATTCCCAAGGCACGCACACAGACCGGCTATGTGTCAGAAAGATCAGATTAAATATTACACAAATGCCACTCCTCCCTCAAATATAATCACAGACTCTAACCCTTTTCCTCATGAAAGCAGACTGTAGAAGGTTAAGGTTGAAGAATGGCTAGAGACAAGAAACTGAGCTCTAGAGAGGCTATCAAAAAGCTATTCAGGAAAATTAGAACTTGAACTCCCCACTCCAAACCTGTGGCTTACAAACCACAGGTTTCACCACAAAACAACTTAAGAAAAATAATTTGCTTGTTTCCTTTTTTCTTTCTTCCACTGGTGCACATGTATTTATTAGGCAGGGGCTCACATGCTATTGCCAGTGGGATATCACCTATTTTGTTTATAGTCCATGAAATAAACAGACTTCTTTTTTAAGACAGAGTGTTACTCTGTTGCTCAGGCTGGAGTGCAGTGGCATGATCTTGGCTCACTGCAACCTCCGCCTCCTGGCTTCAAGCGATTCTACTGCCTCTGCTTCCGGAGTAGCTGGGATTACAGGTGCCTGCCACCACACCCGGCTAATTCTTTGCATTTTTAGTAGAGATAGGGTTTCACCATGTTAGCCAGGCTGGTCTCGAACTCCTGACCTCAAGTGATCCGCCCGCCTCGGCCTCCCAAAGTGCTAGAATTACAGGCATGAGCCACCACGCCCGGCCAAAATTTTACCTTTTTTTAATGACTGGAAACATAATTCAAAACAATATTTCATGAAAAGTGACCATCACATGAAACTCAAATTTCTGCATCCATAATAAAGTTATATTAAAGCACAGTGACACTCCTTTGTTTACGTGCTATCTATGACCGCTTTCACACTCACAGCAAAGCTTACTATTTTAACAGGGACTGTATGTCCCACAAAGCATTTACCAAAGTCTGTCTTTTACAAAATGTTGGCAGACCTCTGCTATCTTTCCCAATCCAGTGAAAACCCACATGACGAATATACTATATGAAGAGTTAAATGGGAAAAATTAAAGTGTGTGTCTATGTTTTATCCTTTCAATTCACAGCAAGTAGGGCAAGTTTGTCAGTGCACCAAGGAGAAGAATTAGTCAGATTTCACATCCTTGTAAGAATGCTGTGAACAGAAAAACTTCCTGTATTTAGACCTGAAAATCCCCAAGAACTGAAAATCCTACTAACGTATGGTTTCCCCAACTCTACAAGGTGGAAGCAGACCCAAAGCATAGGTAATAACTCACAGGCAGAGACAAATTACATCATTCTCAGGCTTCTTACAGCATCTCCACCAATCACAGAGCCCAGGTGAAGAGACAAGGAGAATTGCCCTGTTGTGTAAGTCCTAGATTAGAAATCAAACGTCAAACTCTTCCAGCTGCCTTTGGCCCTTAGGTAGTCACATGTGATTCTCCAAGGGTCTATTCTTTTATCTCTAAAATGAGGTATGCTGACCAACCAGAGGAATATTCACTCTCTCACATTTTTTCACTAGAGGAAAAAATGAGAAGAGGAAAGGGACTGGGAGAGGAGACCTTTTCTTTTCTTTAAGTCATGTTTTGTTTTCTTCTTTATAGCAGACAAGACACCATTAGAATAGAGATATCCCTCATCAGAAAGCAAAGGGTCTAGAACCGAGTACCAGCCTGGATTCAATGACTCTAATCACTACAATATTAAAATGTAGTACTAAGAAACTGGGGCATTTGAATTCAAGGATGTGAGTTTTTTCCTTCCCAGTCTAAGGGGCTTCTGGAAACAAAGACAAATGTACCCATGCAGGGTGTGTTCTCTTTTCTTCTCATAGGGGTAAAAGCAACATTTGTCTGAATAATACTTGCTTTATAAGTAGCCACCCAGGCATTAGTCATGAAATTATCTGTAATAAGGATGGGTTAGAACAGTCAGCACCTTCATACGGCAGTACTCCAATAAAACAAGGCTTCTTTATCACTGTTCATACTCTTAAAACAATCTGGGAAAGTCTCTTTCATTTACCAACCATGTAACTTCAAGAAAAAAAATACCACTTAGTCCTCTAAAGAGTAAAAACAATGAAATGTCAAGTGTAGCCCAAGAAACACGGACTTTCAAAGGGGCAGTATGAGTAAGTTCACTAACCTGATTTCCAGCTATGTTGTTTTTGTTTTTACCACCATAGAATCTAAAGCATAGGGCACTGTTTCTCTCAAACAAACTTTTGTTTTAAAAGTTAACAGCTGGCTGGGTGCAGCGGCTTATGCCTGTACTCCCAGCACTTTGAGAGGCCAAGCTAGGTGGATCACTTGAAGTAAGGAGTTTGAGACCAGACTGGTCAACATGGTGAAACCCCATCTCTACTAAAAATACAAAAAATTAGCTGGGCGTGGTGACGCATGTCTGTAATCCCGGCTACTCAGGAGGCTGAGACAGGGGAATCGCTTCAACCCAGGAGACAAGGTTGCAGTAAGCCAAGATCTTGCTATTGCACTCTGGCTTGGGCGACAAAGCAAGACCTCCTCTCAAAAATAAATAAATAAAAAATAAAAGTTAATAGCTTTAAACACAAAGAATAATCATCTCAAGGCCTTGAAGAAAAATATTTTTAAAACCAACTGAATGGAAATTACCATATGACCCAGCAATTCCACCACGTATATAAAAACATATGTCCACATAATTTTGTAAACAAAGGTACACAACAGTATTATTCACAGTAGCCAAAATGTGGAAACAATCCAAATCCACAAATAAATTGTATATTCATACAACAGAATAGTATTTGACAAAAACAAATGAAATGCTGATCAGTGCCACAATGTGGATGAAACTTGAAAATATTATGCTAAGTAAAAGAAGCCAGTCACAAAAGACCACATACTGTGTGACAGATACCATTTATATGAAGCTCTGGAATGGGCAATTTACATACTATCTATAGCCACTTTCACACTCTCACAGCACATCTCTCTATGGATTCACAGAGAACAGAAGTAGATTAATGAGCTGGGGGAGGGAAGAGTGAGGGAGAGGCACACTGCTAATGGGTCTGGGGTTTCTTTTTGGAGTAACAATGCTATGAAATTAGAATATTAGTGGTGACCATTGCAGAACTCTGTAAATATATTTAAAACTAATGACCTGCGCACTTTATTTGATTAGGTGGATTTTATGATATGTAAATTATATCCTAATAACGCTGTTCTGAAAAAAAAACATAGTGAACTTTTCCTTTTGGAGGACGAAGTCTTGATTTGTCACCCAGACTAGTGCTAAGGCACGATCTCGGCTCACCACAACCTCTGTGTCCCAGGTTCAAGCGATTCTCCTGCCTCAGTCTTCCCAGTAGCTGGGATTACACACGTCTGCCACCACGCCCGGCTAATTTTTGTGTATTTTCAGTAGAGGTGGGGTTTCACCATGTTGGTCAGGCCCGTCTCAAACTCCTGACCTCAGGTAATCCTCTCAAAGTGCTGGGATTACAGGCATGAGCCATGGTGCCTGGCTACAGAACCTTTTTTTTTTCATTACTGAAAATGATATACTCTGTAATTTAGATAGTTACTATTGAGCTATAAAGTAAAAATCTCATTTTGGCTATCAGTTTCCATATAAGGAAAGAAGAAACAGGTTTAAGAAGGGATTATAGGCTGGGTACCGTGACTCACACCTGTAATCCCAGCACTTCAGGAGGCTGAGGTGGTGGATCACCTTAGGCCAGAAGTTCGAAAACAGCTTGGCCAACAAGGTAAAACCTCAGCTCTACAAAAACTACAAAATTAGTCGGGTACAGTGGTGTATGCCTGTAATTTCAGCTACTGGGAGGCGAAGGCAGAAGAATCATTTTCACCTGAGGCAGAGGTTGCAATGAGCTTAAATCACACCACCGCATTCCAGCCTGGGTAACAAAAGTGAAACTCAGTCTCAAAAAAAAGAAAAAAGTTATAGATCTTCTTTTGTGATAACTCTGATTCTGTGACAATTTAAGCTTACTGACAAGTTTTAAAGTCTGATGGTCATGAGGAAAATGTTTTTCAGCACAAACTCCAAGGAAACACGTAATAGCCCATTCCAAAACTTTACTGTGTGGTATATACCATTTATGAAAGCTTAACTGCAGCAACATATACACATTTATATAACAGCACATGAGAGACGGGTGGAAAATACTATTTTGTCCACCTACCCCCAAATAAAAGACAAAGCCATAAATCAGACAAAGTAGGACAGGCTAAAGCCACTTACCGCCTGGGCCACTGGGCCTTGCTTCGTCTTCGGCGTAGCAGGTACGCTCCATACAGCCACTTCTTCAGAAACTGAACTTGCTCTGGTATTACTCAGAAAATCCACTTCATCTTCAGCTTTCACGTCTGGCATTTCTGAAAGTGCAGGGAGGTTACACAGTGCATTTTAAAAAACTGATTCCTGTGCCTTACTAGTTACACAACATGCTCCAGGTTTCATGTGTTTTGTTTTTGCTTTTTTGTTATAATAGAAAAGTATTCTTTCACTGTCAGAAGTAGTGTCATTTCTGACCCTATGCTCAGCTATTCGTTTATCACATGGTTGCTGGTTTTCCCTGGCTTTTGTACCAGCTTGGAACTAAGTGAGGATCCAATTCAATGTCGTTTGAACATCCCTCTCACCATTGACTTTTTACAACAAATCTGAGAGTAGGCCAACCTGAATATGGAAAACTAAATTCATAAGCTTCTGGGGAACAGATTAAACAGCTGAAGCGAGGTAATCCATCCTGGCCATCATCAAAAAAGCAAGAAGGATTTGTACAAAGCAAAAAGGAAAAAGTCACTGACAATGAGAGACAAAGCCTCTGAAACAAGTTTTACTTTCACTAACATACAATACACTCTGATCCACCCATCACTGTAACCAGTAAGACTGAACTACTCCAGCAGTTACTTCTTGTTTTCAACCCCTATTTCTTCCAAAACTGAAACATAATCATACACTAGCTATCCATTTCTTAAGAGAAACGTTTCTGTGCATGTTTTCTCAAGAACTACTTAGTTGTCCTCTTGCTGGCTATGCTCAACAGACCAAAAACAGTGGTGGTTTTTGTTAACAACTTGACCATGGTCAAGCAAACACAGGAAGGAAGTGATAAATGATGTCTGAGGCTTCTGGCACTTCTTTAAAGGTGACTGCCGATTGAACAGTCAAAAAAATCACCTTAATAATCCAAATACAAATGGAACTGTCATCTTGATTTCATGTGAAAATGTTTCTGTGGTTATTAACCTAGTGATGCCACTACTCAGACAGAGAAAAATGCTCCCCACACTAAAGAGCACAGAAGTTTCTTTCATCAAAGAATAAATTACATTAAGATTTTATTCTAGCAGCACATGACACGTACAAAAGTCTACCTTCAATTTGTAAGAGCTACATATCTATAGATGAACCTCTTCTTTCTTTGTCCTTTTAATTACATAATCTTATTAGCAGTTTAAAAATGGGCAAACAAGTTTCTTTGCCCAGGTAACCAAAATCTGTGTTAAATTTCATAAAATGATATTAAACTTAAAATCTGACTAAGCAATCCCCTTAGAACTATCCCTTGATCAAAACATCTCTAAGTGAGTCAAAGTAACTTCTGGGAAGAAAGAGGGTTGCTTTTCTCTGGGGATGTAATTTTTGGTGCATCCTTTCCCATACCTATCAAGTTTGAAAAGATGCATCTTGGCACAGCAACCAGCCTTGAAGGGTGTTGGCAACCTCTGCAGGACTGGTGTGGCTCAGTCATGCACCAGATTTCCTAAGCACTGTGGTCAATGCTTTTGATGGGTGAGAGGCCATATCTCCTTCTTTCAAACTGGCTCCTTCCAAGTCAGCAGTTAAACCTATGTCTTTTCACTTGTAAAACACTATGATTAAATCTATGAATAGAATGTAAACTTGCTAGAAAACACCCTTTGGCTCTGAGATCACACTCAGGTGCTTTTTCTGTATGGCAATGTGACCAGGGATTTTCCCAATCCTGGCCATTTTCTGAAAAAAGCACCGATTTCTTCATGACTGGCTACTGTCTCTGTAATCTAAGACTACGAGTACTGAGTTTCTCTGTAGTTTGAGACCACGAGTATGACTCCTTTTGGTAAAGACAAGTAACTAACCTACACAAAATTTGCCAACCCTAAGCCCATATATACTGCTAAAAATTCAAACATTTTTCTTCCTTCTGAAAAACTTCAAAATCCTAAACAGCTATTATTTCTTACCATCTTTACTACATGTGCTAATAAAAACCAAAGTATGAAATTCTCCCTGTTTTTTACTTTTTCTCATAGGGTTACTATAGACACAATCCCCACAGGGTTCACACTTGCTTGAGTTAAATTCTGACCACTGAGCCAAAAGAGAAATAATTCTGGCCCATGTGGCCAAGGACGCAGCACCCAAATGAAAAGAACATCGCCAGGCATCAGCTTACAGCCACGCCCATTCTTCTGAAATGCCAACCTGCGAGGGCCCCCAAAATAGACTTGTTGTTGTGCCTTTTTAAAATAATTAGAGACCTTCTCATTTAAATCCTGAACAAACAGCCAACAAATATCTATCACTAACAATTCAAAACATTAATAAAACTAAAAGGCTAAAGTCATCAAAATTTCTACCTCAGATTCCTTTAATCCCTCAAGTGGGGAGGAAAAAGATTATATAAATGGCTAAAAGCCCTTTACCAGGGAAAATAGCCACTGTATTTAAATTGTGCTTCTTCCAAAGCAATTCTCTTTGCTCTTTTTATTCATTTCTCTCCATAACCCTCTCCCATCCTCTTAATACATATGTGTCAAGAGATTTTCAAAAATAGGAACAGCAAAAATAACCAATAAAGACAAACAGCCTACTTCTTACCTACAAAAGCCTAGGGGCAAGCATGGAGTTAGATCCTCTGTCTACAGCGGGTAACAGGTGGTGATACAAAAGTGTGCATCAAACTGACCTTTAAAAAGACTTCAGGAGTCAAGATCGTGTCCGACACGTTTCAGCTTCAGCCTCAACCCCCAATAAGAAGTTTTATTCAGACAGTTTCTTTCCACCGAGCAACCGCGGTTTCTCTTTGCTGTCTCGGAACATGGTTACCCATAGATGGAACAGGCTGCTGTGTGAGCAATCTGCTCAGTGCAGCTGCTTCACCAAGATAAAGCAGACACAAGGTCTGCCCTGTGACAGCAGCTCAGCAGACTGGGCTTGGGCGGAAATCCTGCATCCTATCCCCAGCACTGTGCAGGGTCTTGAATTCCCAGACTGCTGCCCAAATGCAACAGGCAATGGAACTGGAGGTCTGCTCCCCAAACAGGAAAAGGAAGGAGTTCCCCGTCAAAAACGCCCCTAGCTCAAACACACACACACATACACACATGCACACACCCAATGACCTAATACCACCATTTTGGATGTTGGGATGTCAGCTTAGAACAATATTTACAGCTGTTCATGAAACCACTCTGCCTCTAAATCTGCTCAGAATACAGACTAGGATGTTAGGGGAGAAAGGGAGTTTCAGACTTGTAAATAAGACACAGTTTTCAGCACTGTTTTCTATGGTACTAGAGAAAAGGACTAAGCCATGTGAATAAAAACATCAGCTAAATTCCTTCATCATTTCATAGCACCTGTGACCCAGGCATTGTTTTCCAGGTTTGCAAAGCTGCAACCATTCCAAAATGACAGACATATTGTTTATAAGCTTAAGCAATCAAGCAGAAAGTCTCCAACACAGGAAGCAAAATCTGTCCAACCCTGAGATGACACGCCTCTCCTGATGGTGGTGACTATTAATGTGGCTACCTACCCAATGGCTATAAGACATCAAGACAACAAAGATGCTTTTTTTTTTTTTTTTTTTTTTTTGAGACGGAGTTTCGCTCTTGTTACCCAGGCTGGAGTGCAATGGTGCGATCTCGGCTCACTGCAACCTCCGCCCCCGGGCTCAGGCAATTCTCCTGCCTCAGCCTCCTGAGTAGCTGGGATTACAGGCACACGCCACCGTGCCCAGCCAATTTTTTGTAATTTTTAGTAGAGACGGGGTTTCACCATGTTGACCAGGATGGTCTCGATCTGCCAACCTCGTGATCCACCCGCCTCGGCCTCCCAAAGTGCTGGGATTACAGGCTTGAGCCACTGCGCCCGGCCTAGATGCCTGTATTTTTACCAGGACACCACAGAGATTCTTAAGGTAATCGGCTTCTCAGACTGTTAATTTTGTATTCTGTTTTGCTTACCTGTTGCTGCCTCAGGCCCTCGCACAGGTAGAATAATCTTCTCTGGCTCCTCCCCTCCAGCAAAACAGCCTCCAAGGCTCCCCGTGGCTTCCTCATGAGTACTGCCCACTGGCAGGCTCTCCCCAGGCGAGAAAGCACTCACTTTTTCTGTAGAAGCATTCTCTAGCCCTTCAGTGAGAGGATCCAACTCAGCGCTGGACGCTGACACGTGACAGGCCTTCTCCTCAGTAAGCAGTGCTCCAGCGGCCTTGACTCCTTGGATGACGGCATCCACTATACGGCTGGCAGCCTCCTCTATCAAGTCCACTCCCTTAGGCAAAGGTGCAGCTTGGGCAGAGACCAAGCAAGGTAGAGAGGGAGTGCTCCTTCCCCTGTCTGAAGGCGGGCCTCGCATAACTTCCCTCTTGCCAGCTGGGGTCCCATCATGATGGGCTGAGAGCCCCATTTTTGTGGGGAGCTCCTTGGCAGCAGGCTGCAGTAGGACAGGATGTGCTTCATTGTCTATTCGGGCTTCCTCAGAGTCGCCCGTGTTACAGCTGTGGTCTGCTCCCTCCAGCTTCCCTTTCACCCAATCAAGAGGTACCATCTCTGGGGTTCCAAATCCCTGTGGGTCAGTCACAGCTTTGTCTTGTAAAGCTACTGGCAAACCCAGGATGACCTTCTTCTCTTGGCTCGACGAGACGTTTGGAATCAGGATGTCTTGGGTGTTGTGTGACACACTCTTTCTTCTGGGCTCAGCTGTATCTTGTACATCATTAAACCCTGTAATATCCATGGTCACATTTCCACTCACCTCACAGGAACTAATATTAGGTTTTCCCTGGCATTTAGTGTTCTTCACTTCGTCATCCAGAGGAGAAGGCTGACTGTAATTAAGAGCCTCAGACCAATCACACCCATCTGGCAACAGACACTGCAACAGAGTGGAGCTGTTCTGCTCTGCACCCAAGGCTTCCTGCCTTGAGTTTGTACCCAGACTTGTTCCTGGTAGCACCAGGCTCTGGAAAGCCCAACCTTGAGTTAGCAGTGAGACTTGTGGGGCCACTTCCTTGTTATGTTCAGTTTCTGCCTTAAGATAGGCAGAGGGTGCACCCGGTGAATTGCTTAGCTGAAGTGCTTCGTCCTTGGCAGAGGCGGCTGAGATAGATTTTTCATGAAATCGTGGAGTCTCTTGTTCAGGAGATGGTGTTCCCTGCTCCTCCTGCAATGTTCCTGAAGAAAGAGCATTTTCCATAATGGAGGAAGAGGTCACTGCTTTATCCTTATCTTGTTCCTGAGCTCCAGAGCTTTCTGAAACCACCAGAATTTTTCCTTCTTCAGTCAAAACTGAATCTAAAGCCAAAGTGGCCTTACCCGCATTTTGCAGGGAGGAGTCTGTGTCCCCCTTGATACTCAGAACTTCCGGAGCTGCTGAAGGGGCGGGACCCTCATGTTCTCCACCAAGTCTGGTGAGACTGGTATTCCCCATCACGAGCTGAAGCTCTGCAACAGTGGAGCATGGGGACAGGCCTGCTGCCCTGTCTTCTAGTGGCTGCGTATCAGGATCATTCGCATCTCCGTCTGGGCCATCTCTACAATCTGTAGCCTCATGTAGCGCAGGAGTTGCTGTTCCCTTTTCTTTCTGGGAGGGGACAAAAGAAAGTGCGTCATCCCTGGTTACTGATTCACTGCCTGGACTGTTGGCCAGAAAGAAAGTACTGTCTGATATTACTGCCTGGTCTGGCACCAGTTCTTTCTCCATTTTAGGGACAACTGGATGTGGATGTGAAGGCACCTCAAGCATATTTGCTAAAGATTTATCGAATTTCACATCTTTTCCTTGGCCTTCGTTATCCACCACTTTGAAAGGACAAAAATCCACACGTTCCTGGGTATCCCTTACCGGGTCAGAGGTGATTGTATTAGCCTGTGGGTCTTCACAGTGGGTGGCCTTGGGTGGATCTTGTGAGTTGGGTTGCCTTGCTGTGGTGCTTTTGGGCTGGCTAACTATATTATCACACAGTTGTGCAACCAACTCGCCACTAGAAGTCACTGTGTTCTGTTGACACGCGGAGTTTGAGCAAAGTTTATAATCTCCAGTTGTAGAACAAATGGGTGAAGATTTGCCCTTTTGGCTTTGAGCATGAGATGAATTTATTTCTGAGTTCTGGTGTGGCATTACATCTACTTCCAGCCTGGGAAGGGCTAAATCTGAGGGTGACGTTGCTTCACCTATGCCTGCTAAGACAGTGCAAGGTTCTAACCCATCTGAAATCTTGTCTTTTGCAGCAGCTGGAAGCACCACAGAATTCTGTTCTACTGGGGCATGAACACTCTCCTCACAACTTCGTGAAGTTTCCGTTTCTGCTGTTTTTTCAATGGAGGTTTCCTCATTACTAAATGCAAGTGAGGATTCAGCAGGTTTGTTACCACCCAGGGAACTGGTGGCAGAGGCACAGTTTGGGACACTGACTTTATCCACAGGCTTACTTGTGACTTGCATGTCAGAGGCTCCAGCTGTGCCCATATTATCCTTTGTACTCTCCCCTACTTGAAGCACATTCTTCTGGACAGTGGCATCTGGGTTCATGAGCCCATGTTCCGCTTCCCCTGCACTCTCTGGGGTACCGACATCTGTTGTTGAAATGCTTGCCAGTTCACCTGCAGAGGAATACTGGGCTGTGCCTGGCACCATGACCACATCTCTTTGCAGCACAGCATCTCCACTGCTCAAGGACTCCTCGTCTGTGGGCATTCCAGAAGATTTTGTTCCAGTTTCTTCGTTTTTGTTTCCACAAGACAAACGGCGTTTCGTGCCCTTTACTCCATAATCAGGCAAGCTCTGAAGGCAGCTGTCTTGATCAGACACAGTTCCAGAGTCCACAATAGGTGCTGGCCCCACCTCTTCCCCTTTTCTTTCCATGCCTTTATTTTTCTTCCTACAGGAACGGTCTGTATTCTCCTCCTCAACTATGCTTGACAAATCACAGGGACTTTCAGTCTGTGCAACAGAGCTCCCTGGGCAGCACTGAGAGCTCTCCGTCTCTTCAGGAGAAGAAAGTTGCTGACTGTCCATGGGCTCTGGTGCACAGGGAAGAAACTGGCCATCTGTCTGTGGGGCACCAGAAGAATCCTGTGCTGTCACCATTAAGGGCTTAAGATTGTCCATCTGCTTGAGGTTTGTTTTCTAGGAGGAAATGAAATACACTTTTAAAAAATTGTCCATAGAAGAAGATGCCACCGATACCTCTGAGCAAAAATCCTGTTGGACATAACTCACTTCCATTCTAGCCCTTCGAAGGTCACATGATAAGCTGATCTAAGAGAATACAAATGTTCTCTCGTTCCTGATACTACTTTCTTCTCTCATTTTTGCCTATACATTAGGATGTTCAAAATGAATTAGAACATATGAAATTTCTATTTTCTATATTTTGAACTCATTTTAGAAAGTAAATTAAAATTGAGTCTCAAAAACTTTTTTTTTTTTTTTTTTTTTTTTTTTAAAAAAAGCTCAGTAAGTATCTTCAAATGAGCAGCTAACATTAAGGTGAGATCTCTCATTCTGAGGCCAGGCTGAAGTGCAGTGGTGCATTCATACCTCCCTGCAGCCTTAAACTCCTGGGTTCAAGTGACCCGGCCGCCTCAGCCTCTTAAGTAGCTAAGTCTACAGATGTGCACCATCACACCTGGCTAACTGTTTTATTTTTTGTAGAGAGGTGGTCTCACTGTGTTGCCCAGACTGTTCTCTAACTCCTGAGCCCAAGGGATCCTCCTACCGGGGCCTCCCAAAGTTCTGTGATTACATGCGTGAGCCTATATTTTTCAGTCTTCAGAGGAGCAGAGCCTACTTCCACTCTGCCTTACACATACAAGTGAAAACAAATCATAGCTCTTTTCAATTACAAGGTGCAACCAATGTTCCTGTGCCCTAAATACTTACTGAGGAGTTACTTGGTGTCCTTTACGCCCCCAAAATATGCTCCAAACAATCTAACTTAACCATTTGAGTTATGGAGTCATAATTCCAGGAACAATGACATGGCAGATATACTTTCACCTTTTGATAAAATCAGAACATACTGAATATAAAATAATGGTAACATATATCTATATACTGTCAGAGTATACTATGGATACTATATGTCATCTCAAAAATAGATTTTGCAACTTTAAAGTATTTTAAAACATAGAAACAGATACAACCAACACTATGGGAATGGTTGAGAAAATCATGGTTCATAAACCTCATGAAAGAAATACAAGTGATCACTAAGTATGAGGACTATATTGCTATCAGAAAAATATTATTAATCTAAGTTTATAAATATGCAAAAATCCCATGTGCATGTAGCAAGATTTAGGAAAAACAGATAAAATCAAATACAGCTGATCTTTAGTGAATTTACCTTTATGTCAAAATTTCAAGAATTCTTACAAAAATACTATTTTCTCAACTACTAAAATCTATTTTTCCAAACATCTGGTTTGCTCTCCACTCATTACCTGATCTACTGCAATAATATGTGTATCTACTGCCATCCGTCCTCTCATTCACCTACTCACTCAGTTAATATATTGGGCATTTACAGGGTTCCATCATCAGACTATTCCTATCTACCTACGGGGTCTCTTGTAAAAGTTTATATGTACAAGTGTAAAATGTCTCATGCTTGTTAAAGTCTATTAGTGTGTACAAGCAAGGACTTTCACTAAAAGCTTCTGCATTATGCGCCTTAAGAATATTCAAAATTAGTTTATTTCCAATCCTGCTGGGGGTACGAAAACCTCCTAAAAATCAGGAAAGCAAGTCATTCACTTTAATAAATGGTAAACATTATAAAACAGATGTGGATAAATAAGCAGTATTGACTGAAGAATGTAATACATGTATGTTCCCACAGTTTTAATTTCTCCTATTTCCCTGCCAACCATTCCCGTATCTTGGAGGGTAGCTTGGGCACCTGCAAAACGATATTTTCAAGTGGACTACTATTCACCTAGTAAAAAGAGCTCTAAGAGGGCCGGGCATGGTGGCTCAAGCCTGTAATCCCAGCACTTTGGGAGGCCAAGGTGGGTGGATCACGAGGTCAAGAGATCGAGACCATTCTGGTCAACATGGTGAAACCCCATCTCTACTAAAAATACAAAAAATTAGCTGGGCACGGTGGCACGTGCCTGTAATCCCAGCTACTCAGGAGGCTGAGGCAGGAGAATTGCCTGAACCCAGGAGGTGGAGGTTGCGGTGAGCCGAGATCGCGCCATTGCACTCCAGCCTGGGCAACAAGAGCGAAACTCCGTCTCAAAAAAAAAAAAAGGAGCTCTAAGGTAAAATCTGATTGGCTAGCAGTCCACTCAGAGGAAAATAAAATGTCACTTGCTCTGGAATGAACACAATTCTAATACACAAAAGTGGGAGCATCACATAACCTATGAAATTTCTTGGCTTGCTGGTCTCAAATAATGCATGTTCCCAAAGAAGCCTCTGGCATTGAGCTGACCTTAAAAGAAATTATTGTCGAGTGGTTTCCAAATCAAATCAGCTCTAAAATAAACTGGGTGGAAAAATTACCTAAACATAGTCTTTCAGATGTCACGGCCAAGAGACATACACACACATGATGTTTATATTATTTGTAATAAATGCTAACAAGGAGTCTGTAATGTTTTTATGTCTGGCAACAACTTCATCTTGAAGACTTGAGTGGATTATAGAATCTTTTATTTTGTTTGTTTCTTAGTGATCTTCGTACCATACAACTCTTGATTTAAATATAGTAACACTATATTTAAATGGGACATATCATCGCTCACTAAAATAGTTGTAAAAATACTCCTGATTAAATTTGGTTATTGTTCTTTGGTAACAATCTCAGAAACTGTTTTGCTTATTTCATTTTGTAAAGTTAAACCAAATACAGACAAATATCCTTTTATGCCAGGATAATTTAGTTCTAGTTGTTGCATATTTCTGTACCTGAAATGTGAGTCTTTCGTTATTCCAAAAAATGAATGCAAAAAGCCTCTCAGTCCCCTTACTGTTACAACCTTAATACTAGTTCGGATCTGCTAAGTGTGGTAACATCTAATACCGCTTTATAGGTTTCACAATCTTTGGGTAAAGTCTTTTTCTGTTTTTGAGACAGGGTGAGTGCAGTAGTGTCATCTTAGCTCACTGCAACCTCTGTCTCCCAGGCTCAAGCCATGTGCCTGTGTCAGACTGCCGAGGAGCTGGCACTACAGGCATGCACAATCATGCCCAGCTAATTTCTGTATCTTCTGTAGAGCTAGGGTTTCTCCATGTTGCCCAGCCTGGTCTTGAACTCCTGAGCTCAAATGATCCACCTGTGTCAGCCACCCAAAATGCTAGGATTACAGGCGTGAGTCACCATGCCCGCCCAGGAAAGTATTTTTATGTTCTAATTATATCAAGGTTCATTGGAGGAAGGTAGGGACACACATACAAAACACATCCATACACACGCACACACTTAAAAATAAAAGCTTTCTGACTTACTGTTAGTTGCTGTTGGATGTTCATAAGTTTAAAAATGTGTCCAGTGCAACTGTCTCCAGGAAATGGGTGTTCATACTGTGATTCAGACTCAGAGGTTAATGTATAGATGTCCAACTCCCGATGATGCCTCACAGAACAGTCTCCATATGGTATTTCATAGGATAAACTGCTCCAGGAGTCTGGTTCTCCAGCATTCTCCCTACACGCAAGCAATCTCTGGTTAGAACATATATTCTGCCTCCCAGGTATAGTCTTAACCTTCTAAGTTTTATATCCTTTTTCTAACCTGAATGTTCTTTGAGGTCCTACAGCAAAAATTAGTATATATACCTCCCAAATGATTCAGTCATAAAACAAACAGCTCCATCCTCCTCAAAGAGATTACAAATGGGTTAAATGAAAACTGCAGGACTCCTCCCTAACGAAGTTCTTTAGATCAAGATAAAGAGATGTCTGGGATCTAGTAACAGTTAATATTATGCTAACAACCAAGTAATGAGGAAGTCCAAGGAACATGATTTTCAATAAAATCAAGGCTTATTAAGAGGTGCTCTTAAAATAAATTAGACCATATGCTAACTACAGTCAATTATAATGGGAAGAGAAGAACCACTCACTACAACCCTTATAAGGGCACTCCAACTTTTCAAACAATAGGTGGAGAAAACACCCTCAAGATTACTGAAGTCAGTTACACAGAGAAAAACTGCTAACAATGCCATATTGTACAACACTGGTCAATTCAATTACCATATCCTATTTGGAATAAAGCACTTGGTTCCAAGAACTTAAAGTTAAAATTTTTTAAATTTAAAAAACAAGCAAGTCTGGTCAACTCATACCATTATAAACATAAATAAGAACTTTCCACTATTATAAGCCAACTGATTTGAACAAGGCAAGAGGATTTCTCTTCTCAAGGCTACAGCACCTCCCATTCCACCCTTGCTTCCAGAAGGCCTACCCATGCCCTTAATGCCTGCTGTGATACAATCCATAATCTGCACTGTTTTTGCAGCAGATGAAAGAATCTTGGGGCATACAACAAACAGGGATAGGGTAAGAATTACTCAACAACTGTACTTAGGCACACATTTCAAGTGTTAAGCAGCCTCTTCAGCCTCTTCTGCATTCAGCACAAATGTAAATGTCTGAAACCTCAATCGTTGGTGACACTATTCTTTATGGTTAGTTTGATACACAGTATGCTATACAAAGTTAGAGATTTCTGGGTACAAAACTTTATTTCCTAGCTATGTGATGCTAGACAAATTTCTTAACTCTTCTGTGCCTTAATTTCACAATGTGTAAACATGGATATTATAATCCAAGCACTGTTTTGAGAATTAAAGAAAATGTGTATTAAAATCTCAATCTATGGTGTTTGCCACAGAGAAGTCACACACAGATGCTGCCTGTTCTTCCACCTTCTACTCTTTCATTCATTTAAATATAAGTCTTAGTAAGCCTTCCCTCCTTAAAAGTAGAAAATTTTTCTACTTTTCTGCTTCTATCAGGAAATACTATTTTCTCTGAAAGCTTTAAACACAATGAAAACAATCCTCAAATAGCATTCTGATGCGGTGTCTAGTAGCTCAAAGATCAGGCACAATAATAGATTATGCTTTCCATCAACCCTTTCCTCCTTATCTGAAATGTTCTTTATTTTTTCTTTCCTTATAACATCAACATCTTTGAACATACCATATCACATTTTATTTTATCTTTTTTTGAGATGGAGTCCCACTCTGTCACCCAGGCTGGAGTGCAGTGGTAAAATCTCGGCTCACTGCATCCTGACTCCTGGGTTCATGCAATTCTCCTGCGTCAGCCTCCCAAGTAGCTGGGATTACAGGTACCCATCACCACACCCAGCTAATTTTTCTTTGTATTTTTAGTAGAGACAGCGTTTTGCCACATTGGCCAGGCTGGTCTCCAACTCCTGACCTCAGGTGATCTGCCCACCTCTGCCTCCCAACCCATATCATACTTACTATAATCCCACCAAAGCAAATGACAGATTAGTAAAATATCACTGAGATTCTGGGAGGAAGGTTATATTTGAGATTATCATCATATTTTGAAATTGAAGAAACTGAAGAATTAAGAAATTACAGACATGCTATCTAGCCACTGAAAAATATGGTAAAGTTTACTTCAACTCTGTCTCTCCAGAGACTATTCTACTAAGTCATACCTGTCTGTCATTAATAGCTCACCAGAGACTAACTGGAATTTTTAAGCTAAAAATATGCTATAGTGGCAGCCATAAAAAAGGATGAGCTCATGTCCGTTGTGGGGACATGGATGAAGCTAAAAACCATCATTCTCAGCAAACTAACAGAGGACCAGAAAACCAAACATCACATGTTCTCACTCGTAAGTGGGAGTTGAAAATGAGAACACATGGACACAAGGAGGGGAACATCACACACCAGGGCCTGTCAGGGGGTAGGGGGCTAGGGGAGAAGAGATAGCATTAAGAGAAATACCTAATGTAGATGACGGGTTGATGGGTGAGGCAAACCACCATGGCACATTTATACCTATGTAACAAACCTGCATGTTCTGCACATGTATTCCAGAACTTAAAATTTAAAAAAAAAAAAAAACTTAAAAATTACGCTACAGTGGAGAACTTATAAGGCAATGGAAAATCATGTACTGGCTGAGGGTAATAACAATTAAGTGTGCTCCAAAAAACTACTATTGCAATTACCTACCAAAGAGTGGCTCCCCAAAAGCAGCTTAAAATAAGAATGGCATATGCTATACTAGATGTTTTACATATTTAGCTAAGCTGCTCTACTCTCAGTAAAATGACCTCAAACAGAAAAGCACGTGCAAAACACTCTCAACAGTTCAAATGACTCAAGAAGTCAAATAGTAGGGAGACAACTTCTCTCTAATTTTAGCTTTCAAGCCTAGCCTGACATAGTCACTAACATGCCTAATTGTGTGGCAGACATTACCAGCGTATCTGCTTAGTCAGATTATCATATATAGCCATATTCCAACAAAAATGACCTCTGAAAACAAAACCTACAGAATGTTTCTGCAACTTTAGGCATAACAGCATTAAAAACTGGAAGCAACCTCATCAGCAGCAACTGGAGCACTAACTGGTAAATTAGCCCAGGCAGGAGCAATTAAAAAGTGACAGAGGGCCGGGCACGGTGGCTCACACCTGTAATCCTAGAACTTTGGGAGGCCGAGGCGGGTGGATCACGAGGTCAAGAGATCGAGACCACCCTGGTAAACACGGTGAAACCCCATCTCTACTAAAAATACAAAAAATTAGCTGGGCATGGTGGCGCGTGACTGTAATCCCAGCTACTCAGGAGGCTGAGGCAGGAGAATTGCCTGAACCCAGGAGGCGGAGGTTGCGGTGAGCCAAGATTGCGCCATTGCACTCCAGCCTGGGTAACAAGAGCGAAACTCCGTCTCAAAAAAAAAAAAAAAAAAAAAGATACAGTCCATTCTCTGTGAAATGGAGTAGTATACCAATTTTGCCACTACTAATTCTCAAAATTGTTCCATTTCTAGTATCTAAACCTTGGGAAATTCCTTTCTCTAACCACAGCCTACTTACCTTCTACCTCTCTCACTCTTACCTTACAGAGGAATGTGCTTTTGTTGTCACAATTACCTCCAGGTGCTAACCCTTAAATCTCCTAATTCCTGTCCCTGTGGATTTTTGTTGCTTCCTCCTCTCCCTCTAGATACTAAAGATTAGTCAATGAAATTATTTTTCCAGTGTCTTCCATGAATATCCATTGCTACTGACACTCTTCCAAACCCATTTCACCCACAAGTCTGGGTAGGTGCCATCATCCACTCAATTCAGCAAGTATGCATGTGCCAGGCACTATTTAAGGTGCCGGTGACCTGAACCAAAATCCCTATTCTGTTGAATAAAGGAAACAACAACAATCAAGGTGCATAAGTAAATCACCTAGAAGATAGCAAGTACTGTGGAGATGAAAGCAGGCATGAAGGTTGTGATTTTAAATGTGGTGGATCAAGGGAGGCCTCATTAATGTGACATTTCAGAAAACACATTTCCTGCTCTGCGTTACCACTGTATAAAACCCTCATTGGGTCCATTAGTAAAATCTGGCAAAACTCTATACGTAAGAATGTTTCTGCAACTTTAGGCATACCAGCATTAAAAACTGGTAGCAACCTAATCAGTCAGTAACTGGAGTGCTAACTGGTAAATTAAAGAACAGATCTATAAACTATTACCATACCTATTAAAAATAACCAAAATAAAATTTCAGTAACATTGAAATCTACAAAAAGTTCTGTGAAATAGCAAAATTTAAAAAAATGTATGTAAGTCTAGACCGTAAAATGTACCAATATAGAAAGTATCAGGGTGGCTGAGATACACGTTTTCCTCTTTCTCAAGATTTTACCAATGTTTTTAATAAGTGCTTCAAAAGTCCCATTCAGCCAGGCCTCACTGTTGTTCAGTAATGCTTATACTCATTGGTATACTAATCCTCCCCCACTGAGATTATTTAAAGTTTACATAATTTCCTCCAAATATTAACCTTGCCTTCTTCGTGATCAAAACACCTTTTCTCCTTTCTTAGTGATAAGCTTGAGGCCATCTAATGTGAGCCAAAACAACTGTCATAACAAAAAAAAAAAAAAAAAAAAAAAAAAGCCTTTCCCCACCCTCTCCAACTTCAGGATACCTCTTGTAGACAGATGTTTTGCTGGATTTCCTCCTGCCCTCCTCGGATCCCTGCTTCACTAAATCACCCCCTGGCTGCAGTTTTCCATGCACCTCTGGACTAGGCTCCTTCCCCACTCCAGCAATAGCAATCCTTATTCAACCCTGTGATCAGAAGTTCTCACCCAACATTTGACTATGTGTGGAGACAGCTGTAGTTGTCACAACATGGGGGTGGGGGTGGGATTCTACAATGCATGGGACTGCTCCCTACAACAAAGAATTATCAGGCCCAAACTTGGTAGTGCTTGTGGCGTCAAGGAACCCTGCCGAGCCCACTGAACCAGGTTCCATCTTCCTCTTCCTCTTTCCTTAAGGGAGTCTCACCATCTCTACCTCCTTCCCATCTATTTTAACATTTTAAGGCTTTGTGACCTGGCTCCTACTCGCTTTGTTTTTTATTTTTTTCTGAGAACAGAGTCTCACTCTGTCACCCAGGCTGGATTGCAATGGCA